CGAGAAATCACCCCCCAGGGGGGATGGTCACGCCGCAATCCCTTCTCCTCCATTTTCCTCTCGGGATCTTGGGCACGCACGCACACGCGCCCAGCGTGAGTTTAAGCCACCAGGTCTGGGACTCGAACCGCGGTCGACTACGTGGGAGTGCAGTGACATAGCCATTACACTAACTGCTGGTTCCCAACCAAATCCTTTGATTTTTAGAAAAAGAAACCACATTCTATCCAAATTTAGAAATAACTATCAGACTTGATGAAATCATGGAAAGCATTCTACATTTAGAAAAGCATAACCTCCTCTCTCTTCAACATCTAGTCTAGAAAAATTAATAATCTTTTGGGCATCAATTATATAAATAAAAGTTATTTTAGTAATCCAGATTCACTAAATATAGTACCTAGAATTAGAATTACCTTAAACATTCATGCCTTATGTGATTTTTTTTTTCTGGGTTTTCTACACTTTTTTCTTTGTTTGTTGTTGTTGTTGTGGCGTTTTTTTGTTTGTTTTGTTTTGTTTTTGTTTTTTTGCCATAGGGTGCATGCACTTGCCAGAGCCAGACAGAGAGCGAGGGAAAGTGAGAACTCGTCCCCTGAGGGGATGGCCATGTCTCAATCCCTTCCCCTTCTTTCTCGTCTGGGGATTTTGGGCAAGCACACACATGTGCCTGGCATGAATTTCAAGCCACCAGGTGTGGGACTTGAACCACGTCAGCCATGTGGGAGTCCAGCAGCTTAACTATCATGCCACCTGCTAGCCCCTCTCTACACTTTAAATGCCTGTCTCCCTCACATTTTTTCGGTGTTCAGAATCTTGGTAATTCTTCAAGATTCACATCATATTATTTCTTCATCCATGAAGCCTCTCCCTGCTCCCCATCAAAATGAGTTTCTTATTGCCCTGACCAGTCATATTTGAGTGTTCCCCCGCTTTCTCATGCACTCAGAGCACCTTACAGCCCTTGTTTATGGCCGTTTCTCGCATGTGGCTGTAAGCTCCAGAAGCGCAGAGTCAACACGATGGGCCTCAATTGCTCTCAGCACAGTGTCTGTCATTTATTCATGCATTCATTCAACAACCACTTGTTGCATGTTTACTATTCAATACCATGGAAGGAACAAGAAGGAAAAGTTACAGACGAAAATTTCTAAGTCTAATGTTGTGAGAAATTTTTTCCAACCCAAGAAAGTTCTGAAAAATAAAAGGAAAAAAATACACACACACACACACACACACACACACACACACACACACACAGATAGGACCAGTTTGTGGTGTGGTGGTTAAGGTGGCTGGATCCCACATAGCCAACTGCGCAGTTTGGGTCCCAGACCTGGAGGCTTGAAAAACAGAGAGTGTGTGCATGAGTGCCCAAATCCCTACTGGCAAATGGAAGAGAAGGGATTGTGATGAGGCCACCCCAGGGGATGCTTTCTCACTTTCTCCCTCTTTCTCTCTCTTGTCTGTGCCTGACAGCACACTACTGCTGTGTGTATATTGATTCGGACCAGGTCACTGAAAGCATGAGCAGGACCTGTACGTCACAGGAGTGCTTTATTTTTATAGCCAGTGTTTAAGCTTCTAAGAATCTCCCTCTTCTACAACGTTGACTATTTTATGTGATCCGAGACCTGAGACCCCTGCGGTTTGTATGTAAAAAGCTTGTAGACTCAGGATGAGAGAAATAAATCTAACCCATGTTGACTTTCCAAACAAAACATGCATGAGCAATAATAATTTTGGGGGAGGAAAAGATAAAAACTAGTTTTTCGTGGCAAGGGTCTGAAGTCCAACTTGTAACTGTCAAATTAACTGCATGGATTCTTAGAAAATAAATGATTCCCTTTTAAAACTTTCTATGGAAACAAAAACATACTGCTGTCTCAATGTATACAGTCAAGTAGATTTATCACAAATGCCATTTGTGTGTGTGCCCTTACGCAATATTTGATTTCTTATTTCTTTAGCATAGATTAATTTAAATTCCATTTTTCACAGCACCAGGACCTAAATATTTGTTTTAAATTATAGTCGTCTAACAAAATCTAACAGGGCGATTTTAAATTGACAGTAGGCTCCATTCTGTCTTCTCTGGTCTTTTCCATGGAATCTACAAACACTCTCTACCTCTTATGATTCATTCACCCACAGTTTACAGACACGATTTCTGATTTGGGGCAAGGATATTAAATACTCAACCCCGATTATTTTTATTCTCCAAAACAATTGACTTCACAAAAACGAGTCATCTTCCACACTGATGCTGCAGAACTACCGAAAACTAGCAGTTGTCAAGAATTCTGGATCTCTGACTTGCCCACGGTTTTCTTGTTTTGTTTCCAAGGCATCTCCTCTGATCAATCATTGGCCGTTCTCCCTTAGCTCTTCCAAATTTTTTCAGAAAACCGTATGAATGAAGCAGACGTGGGTTGAGACTGTGTGCTTCTAGCTCATATCGCTCCTGATGGAATACAGATAAACCTTCCCCCAACTCTAGGGAATTCTGTACATTGTCTTATTTAAAGACTGATTCTGTCATCCCCATCGACTTTTCTTTTTCTTTTTCTTTAGATGTGGGTTTGCTAGGTCAGGATCCTCCCATCTTCACCTCCTGAGTAGCCAGGACTAGAGGTGCATGTTACCATGAGCAGGGCCCACATCAACTTTTAATAAACTCTTAGTCCATTTCCATTTTTAAGAGTAGGGCATGCTGACCATCTTCCTGGATTTGAACCCTGGCTCTGTCACTTCCTAGCTGTGTGATTTCAGACACAGGACTTAAACATTTCTGTGGCTCAATGCCTCATCTGTGAGATACGGTGAGATGGTAACAAGGAAATGGTAACAGGATCTACCCTTGTGAGTAGTTAACATTTCTCTCTCTCCCTCTCTGTCTCTCTTTTTTTTAATTTGCCAGAGTGCATGTGCTCTCCAGAGAGAGACAGAGACAAAGGGAAAGGAAGAAAACACCCCCCAGTGGGACACAGTCATGCTATAATCCCTTCTCCTCCATGTCTTCATCCATTAGTATTTGTGGATGAGCACACATAGTCCCAGTATGTTTTTCAAGCCGCAAGGCCTAGGACTTGAGCCACACAGTCAGCCGTGTGGGATCCAACTCCTTTAACCATTAGGCCATGGGCGGCCCCATAAGTTGACATTTCTAAGGTCCTACAGTAAGTGCTATATGAATATATTAAATAAAATGAACAAATTCTTAGCATTTTGAACAGTGTAAAATAACTGTATGCATCCGTAAATGGGGTCAACCTCTGAATGTTGGCTAATGTCTCCAGGAGAAATCATTTAAGCAATTTATGTCGATATCTTTATACACTCATTAATAAAAAGTTTTGAGGTTAAAAGAAAAAAGAGGCAGACATACTGAATCTTTTCATTTTCAAAGCATTTCTTTTAACAGATTAATTCTGAAGCAGTAAGCATTGCCATGGACCCTCGGTTTGATTCTACAGATATTAAACATCCCTAGTATAGTAGATCCAAAAGCACCCTAACATGGTTTCAGTCCCACTGGGTTCAAGCTTGGCTCTCCACAGAGAAGCCTTGAGTAGTTGTTTCTGGACCCCTGGGGCATCATTCATTGTTCACTAACCAGACACCATTTATCTGTTCATCTATCAGGTGAAGACTACTGTGAAAAAGAGTCATGGTGGTTCTCTAGGCTCACTTTCTAAGGGGCTAAATTTCCTCATCTCAAGAATAGAAATAATAACATCCATCTTGTGGGGATGATAAATTAAATGAAATCAAACTTGTAAGGCAAGTGGAAGTCAAGCGAGGATAATACTCTTTACCCAGGCTGTAACACAAGGCCAAGTGCACTGTCTCAACCCACATCGGCTTCATTCGTTCATTTGTTCCTGATTGACTGTCTCTACATATGGCTTCTTACCACCTCTATGCTCTGCCACCCGTCCACCCCTTTCTTGCCCCTGAAGGATAATCTTACCACATCTCCCTGCTAAAGCTCTTCAAGATGAGATGCCCTTTCAAATCAAGCCAGACTAGTTCATAGGAAACCACACCTCTGACCAGAGTTAGCCTAGAGACCACCTCTGTGGCCCCCGCACAAGGGAACAGCACCCACACTTCAGGGCGCACCATCTTCTGGCAGTCCATGGCACACCGAAATGCCTGGGTTTCCTCCATCCATTTGGTTCTTCTTCCCAACTTTTTACTTCTAGGCATCCAGTCAGATAACAATGACATGGTATCTCCCCTTTTGTTGATAAGAGTTTTTTTTCTTCCAGGAGACTTGCCTGAAGATTCTTTCCACATTATTTTTCTTTTTGGAGAGATTTTTTTCTAGAGGGCTCGTGTGCTCACCAGAGAGGCAGAGAGAGACAGAGAGACATAACGTTAGAAATCACCCTGCCCCCCACCCCCCGGGAGGCCACACTGCAATCCCTTCTCCTCCATTCTCCTCCTGGGATCTTGGGTACGCACACACATGTGCCTGGTGTGAGTTTTAAGCCACCAGGTACAGGACTTGAACTGTGATTGACTATGCAGGAGTCCAGTAACATAAAGCATTAGGCCATCGGCTGGTCCCATCTTCCCACATTGTTAATTAAAATAAGAGAAAGATAGAATGCAACCTGCTTCAACCATCTTCATTCAAATCTTCTCTTCTTCAAGAATGATTTTATTTAACTTTATCCATTGATTTACTTATTTATTTTAATTTGACCAGAAAGGAATAGAGTGAGAGAGAGAAAGTGAGAAAGCAAGCCGCCAGGCTCAGGACTTGAACCACGGTCAGCCATGTGGGAGTCCAGCACCCTTAACCACCATACCACCTGCCAGCCCCTGTGTTCATTTAAATCAGTGTTCCATGAAAAGGATCCACCCCCAAATACGGAGTTTGGCACACAGACTGAAAACTGAAGAATATTTTTTAAAGGTGTCTGTGTCTTGATGTATGAAGTATAACCGGGAAGAACCTAAAAGTTAATGCTGTCTGTGTTTGTTTCTAGAGACTGCGAAAAGCTGTGCTGCAAAGTTGTTCTTTACCTGCTCCCTGAAGGGTCACTACTGCTTATACAGTAAGTCCAGCTTTGTTCTCATCAGCCAAGAACCTCAGCCATGGATCCAGATCATGTTTCTGTTTCAACAGGTGTGTATCATTCATGCAGCAAGCCTCCCCAAAGCTGGGGCACTATGAGTTTATCATCTTTTTTAGTGATGCAGATAACAGCAATACATATATATCACATTAATAATTTTATCATGGACTTCTACATTTTAAGATTGTTTCCTTATAAAAGAGCCTGGATTTTTAATCTGTAGGCCAACCCTATTGATATCTTTTTTTTTTTTTTTTTGGAGAGATTTTCACTGTAGGGCGCGTGCGCTCGCCAGACAGACAGAGAGAGACATAGAGAGAGAAAGCGAGAAATCACCCCCCAGGGGAGATGGTCACGCCGCAATCCCTTCTCCTCCATTCTCCTCTCGGGATCTTGGGCACGCACGCACACACGCCCGGCGTGAGTTTTAAGCCACCGGGTCCGGGACATGAACCGCAGTCGACTACGTGGGAGTCCAGCGACATAGCCATTACGCTAACTGCTGGTTCCCTTGCTATCTTTTTTAAAAAATATTTTATTTTAGCTTAGTTTATACATTCCGTCATGTATATCACTTAGCTTGCAAAGTGAATGTTCCAACATAAATACATTTCTCACCAGTCCAGTTGGGGATACTATGCATGTTATTATCAACTACCCTACTGATATCTTGAATATCTTTAGTTTTATTTTTCTTTTAAAGAATTATTTGTTTTGGGACCAGCAGTTAGCATAATGGCTATGTCACTGGATTCCCATGTTGTCAACCGCGGTTCGAGTCCTGGACCAGGTGGCTTAAAACTCACGCCGGGTGCATGTGCATGCGTGCTCAAGATCCCGAGAGGAGAATGGAAGAGAAGGGATTGCGGCATGGCCATCCCCTCTGGGGGGTGTGATTTCTCGCTTTCTCTCTGTCTCTCTCTGTCTGTCTGGCGAGTGCACGCGCCCTATAGCAAAAACCTCTCCAAAAAAAAAAAAGAATTTTTTTTTTTTTTTTTTTCATTCCTTTATTTTAATTTGACCAGAGAGAGAGAGAGAGTAAAAGTGAGAAAGCCAGCCACCAGGTCCAGGACTTGAACTATGGTCGGCCACATGGGAGAATCCAGCACCTTAATCACTACACTACCTGCTGGTCCCAAATATCCTTAGTTTTGAAAAAAAGAAGAATGAAAAAGAACATGCTTTTGAATAACAATAACAAAAACTGTTCATTTAGAGGAATAGTCTTCTCATGTACAGCTAGTCTTTATACCCTACGGTCTTCCAACCTCAATTAATTTTAATGTCATGTATTCTTTTTGACACTGTTAAGATGGCATACCAGTATTTCTACAGAGCATCACCGTACAGGTAAAATTACGTAAAGAGAAATTTTCAGCTTAGTGAAGAGTTTGATGCAAAAATGTTAGCATCCAAAGAGAATCTTATTTGGAAATACTTGCTTTGGATGTATTAAACTTTCACATAAAATCTGAATGTAGGTTAAAAGATGTTAGTGAGAGAAGGGGTCTTAGATATCATTTTTAAAGTAACAAAACTGAAGGGCAGGATTCAGATCATCTGACCCCTGATCCTATGATCTTTTCATTGCTGCATATGTGTTTTAAAAAATAATAATAATAAGGGGTCAGTCTGTGGCATGATGGCCAAGGTGGCTGGGTGCCCCATGGCTGACCAAAGGGTTCAAATCCCAGGTCCGACAGCTTGAAAAGCACACTGGGCATGTGTGCATGCGTGCCCAAAATCCTGAAAGAAGGGGAAATGGAGAAGGGATGTGGCATGACCATGGGGGAGAGGGTGCTTTCTTGATTTCCCTCTGTCTCTCTCTCTTTCTCTAGCAAGCACATACACCCTATAGCAACAACAAAAAAAGAAAGAAAAAAAAGAAAGAAAGAAAGAAAGAAAGAAAGAAAGAAAGAAAGAAAGAAAGAAAAAAAGAGAGAGAGACAGTGTAGACATGCCTTAGGAATACCATTTTCCTTATAGTTAAGTCTTCTTAGGAACACTTAATAACATCTCATACAGGACAATTCACATTTTAATAGGAACCAAAATGTATGTGAATGTAAGAAATAGCATTGATTTTTTCTTTTTTTTTTTGGTAGAGGTTTTGGCTATAGGGCACATGCACTTGCCAGAGAGACAGAGAGAAACACAGAGACAGAAAGCGAGAAATCACCCCCCAGGGAGATGGCCACGCCGCAATCCCTTCTTCCCCAGTCTCCTCTCGGACTCATGGGCACGCACACACACACGCTCGGCATGAGTTTAAGCCATCAGGTCCGTGACTTGAACTGTGGTCAACTACGTGGGAGTCCAGCGACATAGCCATTACGCTACTGCTGGTCCCAGCATTGATTTTTTGTTCTTAAAATAATGGCCTTACTTCTACTTTACTTACATTTTCAGATCGTTTTCATCTGTGATTTTGAATTTAGTTTTGTCTGCAGCTTTGTTCTCAATGGTTGTCAGTTTTCTAAAAAACAAGCCAAGAAAACTAGATAAAGGTTTTAGGTTTGTGGTTTGGGGGGATTTTTTGGTTGGTTGGTTGGTTTTGCCCTTCAGACTTATTTTATTGACTTAGTCTGATTCTTTGTCTTTCTCTTTAAGCAAAATTATCAAAAGGCATGTGTTTATGCTATTTCTCCTGTTTTCATTTTACTGTCATCCCCCCTCCCCCCACACACACACACCTTTGATACTGTGTTATCTGGGTGAATCTTGGCTTAGGGACAGATAAAAATAGAAATTTGACTTGATAATTACAAGACCAGCATTGGCCTCGTGTACTGAGCCAGGTTCTCTCTTCTCTGTCTGCTTCATACATTCATGGAGTTCCCAAATTCACATGTTCCAATCCAGATACTTAGATCAATGGTTCATTAAATCATGTCCTGCTCTTCTTTAAATGAAAAAAATGTATAAGTTTCTGATAATAATCAAGAAATAGCAGCTATATCCACCTTACAGGTTGCAAAATCAATCTGCTAATGGCTCTTAAGATTTTTAAATCTGTGGACTACTTACTCAGGGTTTAAGATATTCCACCTTGGGGCCAGCAGATGGTGTCATGGTTATGTCATTGGACTCCCACATAGTTGACCGTGGTTCAAGACCTGAGCCAGATAGCTTAAAATTCATACCAGGGGCATGTGTGTATATGCCCCAAATCCCAAGAGAATGAAGGAGAAGGGAGTGTGGTGTGACCATCCCCTCTTGGGAGGTGACTTCTTACTTTCTCTCTGCATTTCTCTGTCTCTCCAGTGAGCACATGAGCCCTATAGCAAAAAACTCTCTAAAAAAAAAAAAAAAAAAAAAAAGAAGGTAGGCTTTAGTTCTAAATTCTGTAAGGCTTGCCTTTTCCCACTCAGTTAAAAATAGCTCAATTTGATGATCACAATAACATTTTTTGAAAAAAAAATACTAAATCTTATTTACTAAATAGAAGATTTGTACACACAGACCACCTAGGGTGTCTCTTTAAAAAAATTTTTTTTTTCCAGTTGCCAGAAGGCATGTGCACTTACCAGAAAGAGATACAGAGAGGCAGAAGGCACTCCTGTCTCCATTTCTCCATCTTATCAGGAATTTTTACATGCATGCACACATATGCTGTGTGTTTCAAGCCACTGGGGCAGAGATTCAAACACAGCTGGCCAAGTGGACTCTGGCTCCTTTAACCCAATTTGGGGTTGGCCCTCGATGGTTTCTTAATTCAATTAAATTTTTTTAATTCAGTTTAATTCAACTTCTTCTCTTAATTCAACACTCAGAGAATCACTGATATATAAAATATCATCTCATAAGTCAATCTAATTATTTTGTCATACATAAAGCTTAATAGATATATATTATGAATATATAAAATGTTTTTATGCCCTTTATGATACTAGATATTTTATAAAATTGTTTCCTTGAATTGAAAAACTTCTCACATTTATTAGTATAGCATTATATCATGTAAATAATTATCAGACACACTATTAATTAGTAAATATACAGACACAAGTTTAAATCTTTCTTCGGAAATTTAACTTTGTTTTTTATTTTTTTTTTTTTGGAGAGATTTTCACTATAGGGCGCGTGCGCTCGCCAGACAGACAGAGAGAGACATTAGAGACAGAAAGCGAGAAATCACCCCCCAGGGGGGATGGTCACGCCGCAATCCCTTCTCCTCCATTCTCCTCTCGGGATCTTGGGCACGCACGCACACACGCCCGGCGTGAGTTTTAAGCCACGGGGTCCGGGACGCGAATTTATTAGTATAGCATTATATCATGTAAATAATTATCAGACACACTATTAATTAGTAAATATACAGACACAAGTTTAAATCTTTCTTCAGAAATTTAACTTTATTGACTTGAGTGAAATATATGGAAATACGAATCTCTTTACATTAACAACCGTATTGCCCAACACTTAGAGAAAGTATCTTAAAGCTTTAAGAATATTCACCCATTATATATTATTGAATTAATATGTCTTTGTTTTCCCCATTCACCCAACTCACACTGTTGATATTTAAGTCATTGAATTATGAACTCTTATTTAATTTCTTCATGATCTACTCTGTATAGACTTGATTTTTATATTCTAGTTTTAATTTTATAACTTAATTCGAAGATCTTTGACAAAATAAATATGAATATTTACATTAACTATTATCCAATTAAGTAACTTTCTTAGGAAACATCAAGATAAACACGGTACTACAAAAGTTGGACATATTTATAGAGCTCAATATCATCTGCCTTAAAAATCCTATTAGTTTTAATTTTCTGTTAGAAAAGGAAAAGCTTACAATACATCACGTGTTTCATCTTCAAGATAGATCGCTTTGTTGTCTTAGGTTTAAAGCACGTGAAAGTTCAAACCAAACCTAAGTAGTGCCTTGAAATCAATGGCAGTGTGGTTGGGAGGAGAGCTAACGTGTTCCATTTCTCTCTGTAATGCCCTCTCAGAGCCTGTTTCCTGAGCCCCTGTCCATTCAGAGTCCTTCTGTGCAATTCCTCAGAGCTCTGTGGGAGAAGACGCAGGCAGGGCAGGCAAGGGGAGCTCACAGCTTTGAAACCGCCATCATGGAGTCCACGTTTCCCCAGCAGAAGGTAAATACTTCTTCTCTTGAACATGTGACTCTAAACACATTGAAGATTGCCTTGGAACGCTTTGCCCTTTTCTTGACAGTTTAGTTTTTCTCCTGCTTTCCTTTACCCTCTGTTATTATTATTAGAAAGCACTTATTAAGTAATGATTTTCATATGGTGCCATCATGTGCTCAAGATGCCCTCCGTAAACAGGGTTAGAGCCCTTTGAGACTCACAGACTGACCCAGAACAGCCCACTTGGAACCACACATAAACTGCATGCACTGTATGGAAAGGAAAACATTTTACCAAGTAACTCAAAGATAGGGACCAGCAGATGGCGTAATGATTAGGTCGTAGGACTCCCACATAGTTGGCCACAGCTTGAGTCTCAGACCCGTTGGCTTAAAACTCATGCTAGGAATAAATAAATAAATAAATAAATAAAGTTAAATAAACTAACTCTAATAAAAATGGGGGAAGTGGCAGCTAGCATGGTGGTTGGGGGCACTGGACTCCTGCATGGCCAATCATGGTTCAAGTCCCAGACCTGCCAGCTTGCTTTCTCACTTTCCCTATGTGTGTGTGTGTGTGTGTGTGTGTGTGTGTATGGGTGTGTGACTCTGTCCTTCTCTGGTCAAATTAAATAAATAAGTAAAATAATTAATTAAATCATTCTTAAAAGAAAAAAAAAAAAAAAGACTCATGCTGGGTGTGCATGCATGAGTGCCCAAAATTCCGAGAGGAGGATGGAGGAGAAGGGATTGAGGCATGGTCATCCCCTCGGGGTGGGGGGGGTGATTTCTTGCTTTGTGTCTCTCTGTTTCTCTTTGTCTTTCTGGTGAGCACATGTGCCTATAAGCAAAAATCTCTCCAAAACAAAAGAAAACAAAAAACTCAAAGATAGAAAAAAAAAAAAAAGATCAACAGGGAAGGGGGCTCCAAGTTTTTGATTCTTTTCATTTCTTCCCTTCATATTTCCTTTCATTCCCTCGTCCTTGATGACGAAGATAAGGGAGGCAAGAAGAGAGAGTGAGAGTAGTAGAGTGAGAAAGTACTCTGTTGAGGCAGGCAAGTGTAATGTGAACGACAAGAGCCTTTTAAGAGTGCAGAAACACGGGCACCACTCAGGACAGTTGCCTGAGAGCTCCTGAGCCAACAACTGAATGTGAACAAAACCAGAGTATGGAACTAGACCTAAACATTCAATAATGTGAAACTAGAAATAGAGGTACCCTCAGATCTTCTTATAAAGAAAGAAACAGGCCTACATACAGCAGGGATTAGTGGAAGCCTGCCTGAAAACAGAAAGGCTACTTAGGTAGCTAGCACTGTTGTCAAGTATGAAATTAAGGTGCTATGGTTTCAGTGTATGTGTTCTTCCAAAATTCATATATCAGAACTTAATTGCCAACGTGATAATATTATGAGGTGGAACTTGAGGAGATGATTCAATCATGGGAGCAGAACCCTCATGAATGGGATCAGCAACCTGATGAAAGGGCTGGAAGGAACTAGCTAGGCCCTTTTTCCTTTCTGCCATCTGTTATGTGAAGATGCAATGCTCAAGGGACCAGCAGTTAGCATAATGGCTATGTCGCTGGACTCCCATGTGGTTGACCAAGGTTCGAGTCCTGGACCCAGTGGCTTAAACTCACACCCGGCACGTGTGCATGCCCAAGATCCCGAGAGGAGAATGGAGGAGAAGGGATTGTGGCATGGCCATCCCCCCTGGGGGATGATTTCTTGCTTTCTGTCTCTTTCTGTCTGGCTGGCGAGCGCACATGCCCTGTAGCAAAAAAAAAAAAAAAAAAAAAAAAATGCAGTGCTCAAGACACCATAAGGAAAGCAGAGACGGAGCCCTCACCAGACACCAGACCTTCCTGTGCCTTGATCCTGGACTTCCCAGCCTCCAGAACTGTGAAGAATACATTTCTTTTACCTATAAATTACCTAGTCTTGGGTATTTTATTACAGCAGCACAAATGGACTGAGATAGAAGTTCTGAACTAAAGCTGGAAGTTGTAGGAAGAGGATAGATCAAAGAGCTAATTGATAGGACTCGGTCATGATAAAGAAAATGGGGGCTTCAAGGATGACTCCATGTACATTATTCGGCTGAATAGATGCTGGCACTATCCTGAAAAAGAGAGACCACACGGGAAGCCGAATGGGTGAAGATAAAGCATTCTGGTTTACATGTTTTGAGGCCAAGCTGTTTGTGGATAGCCAAGTGATGATGGTGGTTGAAATGCTAGTGTGCACCTCGGGAAGAAAGCCAGGACTGGAGATATGAATTCGGGATTCACGAGGCAGCACTTGACCTCCTGGTAGTAGACTGGATCAATCAAATGGAATCTGTATGTTGTATTGTGAGCCAAGAATGGTTATGGGCCTTTAATAAATATTACCTTCTTCTCTTTTTAAACTCTTCCCATACCAAAAGATTCTAATTATTCTTATTTCGTTTTTAAGAAAGTCCAATATTTTGGGACCAACAGATAGCATAATGGTTACGTTGCTGAGTTCTCATATAGTCGACCATGGTTCAAGTCCCAAACCCGGCAGCTTACAATTCACACCAGTGTGTGTGCATGCGTGCCCAAGATCCTGAGAGGAGAATGGAGAAGGAGGTATTGTAGTGTGGCCATCCCCCCTGGGGAGTGATTTCTCACTTTCTATCTCTCTGTCTCTCTCTGTCTTTCCAGCAAGTACACTGACCCTATAACAAAAGTCTTTAAAAAAAAAAAAAAGTCTAATATTAAAAAAATAATAATAATGTAAAAAAGAAGGCCCATAATAAGTATTGGATGCTTATTGTACAAACCAAATGCTCTGAGAATATATGATCATAGTCTCCATCCTTGTTTTATTATTGAGAAAGAGAATAAACATGCCATATTTAAATAAATTCCAAGTGTGAACAAGTAGTTAATTTAAAAAAAAAACTGGTATACTATGAAACTAATTTAATAGCTCTTAAATGCTAAAGAATTGTAACAGGATGAGAAATGGATGTGATTAATCCAAAGTTTATAATGGTCTGAAAGAGACTAGAGACACATCCAACTATTGCATCACTATGTTTTGGCTTTGGTTTAAGAGATCAACATGCAGTATTCCAAATAAAGAAAATGCCACAATTGCATCAGTGTAAAGTAAAATGGAATTCTTCAGACATTTCATTCAATTTTTCAACTGTTGCATCATGTTTAAAAACAATGCCTTAAATTCTCATACATTTTTCATTGTGAGCTGTATTTTAACTAGAGGCAACTAGTGAATTAAAACTTGGCAGCCTGCTTCAAGTTCTAAGAGGAAAACAACAAAAGCCAAAAATTCTCGGCAAACTAGTCTCATACATGCTTGCAAATATACTTACTCATAGCTCTTCTATTTTATATCAATAACAATTCCTCTAAGGAAGAATTTACTGTAAGCCAACATTTTTTTGAAATTTTTTAAGTTTATAATACACATGGTTTATTCATGTGTAATAGAAAGAAATACTTTTGTTTCTGGAATGTACATTACGTGGCATAGTTATCTGTCTGGGTATTCCTCAATCAAATTGATTTTTCTCCATTTTTTATAAAAAGTTCTTTGCATAGGACCAGCAGTTAGCGTAATGGCTATGTCGCTGGACTCCCATGTAGTCGACCGCGGTTCGCGTCCCAGACCCAGTGGCTTAAAACTCACGCCAGGCGCGTGTGCGTGCGTGCCCAAGATCCCAAGAGGAGAATGGAGGAGAAGGGATTGTGGCATGGCCATCCTCCCTGGGGGGTGATTTCTTGCTTTCTGTCTCTCTGTCTCTGTCTGGCTGGCGAGCGCATGCGCCCTATAGCAAAAACTTCTCCAAAAAAAAAAAAGTTCTTTACGCTAAATTTAAAGTGGTTCTGAGAATGGAGCAAAGTCTGCTTTATTCCCATAATACGTGCCTGTATAGACACACACGAGCAACTCTGAAGTGGTGGAAATGTGCTTATCCACTGCTGTGATGGAGTTTCATGCAACCAGGTGGATTCAGGTACACAAGGAAGAGAGAAAACACTCCAAACACTCCTGAGAAAATGCCTACAAAGCTAGACTATAACATTCCAGACAGTTTGCTCTTGTGTTTTTGAGAATCTTGGAATTTTAGAACCAACAATAATTATCAAGACATCTATTAAATTTCAAGCTGCTCGAGAGTCGGAATTCCACCATGTTTACCCTTGTACTGCCAGGGTCACATGATGCCTGGCCCATGGTAGGCTCTCAGTAAATAACAGACATCTAGTGAATAAATAAACAAGGCCTGTCATTTTCCAGATACTAAAATGGGAAGCAAAGAGACCTGTTGAGGGACCAGCAGGTGGTTTGGTTGTTAAGGTGCTGGACACTCCCATATGGTTGACCACAGTTCGAGTCCTGGACCTGGTGACTTGCTTTCTCACTTTCCCTCACTCTCTCTTTTCTCTCTCTCTCTCTCTCTCTCTCTCTCTCTCTCTCTCTCTGTGTGTGTGTGTGTGTGTGTGTGTGTGTGTGTGCCTCTCTCTGGTCAAATTAAAATAAATGAATAAATAATTCTTAAAAAAGAAAAAAAGAGAGAGAGAGAGAGAGCTGCTGAAGGCAGAGGTATAACTCAGGCAGATACCATGGTGTGTTAGAGCTCTCCCCACTACATCTGGTTCTTCTCTCCTCTCTGCCGACTACATTGGCCTTACCTCTTCCTGTAAGGCTTGGCCATGTGACTTGCTTCAGCCAGTGAAATATGAGAAGGGACACTTGTCACTCAAAGTGGAAGCTTTTAAGAGCCAATGCATATTCTCTGTGTTCCCTCTCTTCCTCTTTCATGGTGATTGTAGAAGCGAATGTTATATTGAGTTGCCAGAAGATGGAAACAGGTTGGAGTTCTGAGTCACTCCATGCTGCTCTGGAGTGCTACCCAGTCCTACCACACACTTCGCATGAACAAGAAACAACCCTTTGTTAAAAATGGAAGTTTTGATGTTAGTTGTGGCAGCATAACCCCCCTTTCT